GCCACCCGTCTGCAAAGCCCCTAAGCCAATCCGTTGTGGAGTGGGGTGGAGGCCTTGTTTTCCATCATGCAGAGAGTATATCCAGAACTGTGAATGTTGCTAGTTGCTATATAATGGCTTCTAAAGGCTTACTGGCTCATTGACTTATGAGGTTTTCTAACCCACAGTCTATTAATGTGATGCATGGAGTGGAGAAGGCAATGGCCTATATATACAATGGCACGTATACAGCTGAGAACTAAACAGATTAATGCTAATTTAAAAAATACTGCTGAAGTATTAAACATGAATATGATACAAGACATAATATGCTGGCATGAAATGAGTGTCTACATACACGAAGGAAATTTATATTCATGGATAAAAAATGTGTCTTAATTATACTAACATTGAACAGTCTGTGTTTTTTTTTCTAGCAGAAAGAAAAGCAGTGCTTAGATAAAAAAACTATATGGACTTTTCTATCAAGTTTATGTTATATTTTCACTGTCATCAGAAGTTGTGGGGAGGAAGAATTGGAAATATTAGTTTCCACAGAGTCTGTGTTGAAATTTTGAAACAATAAACTCTTATATCTTAATATTTATGATTCTAATAAACTACCCCAATATTAAAATGTAAGATAAAAACCTGAAAATCCAAAGCTACAATTTGTTGTCAAGACAAAACAATTTTGAATAATAACCCATGATTGAAATCTAAGATTGTGTCTCTTATTTAATAAGTGATTCCCTGTGGTGATATATCCCGGATATTAAAGTAAGTTTAACTCACTTGGGCCAGCTGTTTCAAATTGATGTACAACAACCTGCCAAATGATAGCAGAAAATACGCATGAAATAACTGTTTGTATTCTGATTTATCAGCTTTACTTGACTGTCTCAAATAGATTCCAATCAGATAATAAGGAATTAATGTATAAATGGGGTACTTTCTCTTCAATGAAAATGGCAAAACATACAGGTAACAGTACATTTACCAGACTGACTCAGAAACTATGTGGAAGGTTGTCGTTTAAGCAAGAATTAGTGGGCATTCTTTCAAGCCTCCCCACCACCACCTTTACTATAAGTGAGTACCTAAAATAGAAAAAGACTTAAACATGATGCCAATCCATTTTTGTTACACATTTTACAGAATAAATGTTTGTAAAGAAAGAGTCCTATGGCATTTTAAAAATAAATACCGGTATATGTTATGTAGTGTTTTCATGGTTGGATGCAAGAGTCTGATTGAAGATACAATATGTGTGTATGTGTGTGCGTGCATGCACAAGTATATGCATGCTGCATATGTGTGTGTGTACTCCTGCATTTTGATAATTAAAATATAGGCATGGGATCACTTTTAGGCAAAAACCAGCTGGTGACGGTATTAAGCCATAGTCAGGAGGTAGGCCCTTACCATTGGTTAGTTCTAGACATACAGGGCCTCAGTGAAATGCCATTTTCTAAACTGGGATGAGAAACATGTAGCTTGGTTTATAATGCCCACCAGTCCTCGTTAGTCTAACAATTTCTGGCTACCATATTAGTAGGTTGGCAAATTTACTTGAGGTTTTAACTGAGACTTTAAAGCAACTATCTAAAATTCTAAATGCTATTTTTCAAATAGGTTCAACCCTTTAGTTAGTTTCTTCAATATCTAGACTCTATCAGACTCCCAATTCTAAATTTACAATTCTACGTTATATGTATGGCAGACATGCTCCCTTTCTCAACAATGTCAGGCAACAGCAAAATCCCCAAATAATTCCCAAATAAATTTCAATTCATCCCCACTTTATGGACTTACCATCACTTTTCTCTGCTTTGCCCTTTTGGATCTTTTCACCATTGTACAACTGAAGCTCTACAGATGGGCCCTTTAAGCTGTCCTTGAGGCAGGGATGGGGAGGGGCAGCCACATGCCGGCCACCTCAACCCCTCCCCGAAGACGGCCTGACACCACACGCTGTTATGCATGGCACATGGCATCAGGACATCCTTCTGGTGCAGCCTTTTGACACGCTGTGCCGGAAGGCATGCCAAAGAGCCCCATGGCACCCCTTAGGGCGCCCTTTTGCTGGCTCTGAAAGGAGTGGCATTTTGCTGCTCTTTTCTGGTCCGGCAAAAGGGAGGATTGGGGCTGATGCATCAGGCAGCCTTGGCCCCAATCCTCCATTTCCCAGGGCGGCCCAGGGTGGTCCATCTGCATTCCCCTTAGTTCTTCTAAGACGACATGCTAGAGATTGCACTGTAAAGCTACATTTCCCCATGGATACAAATCTCACTATTTCTTGTTGTGATGAAGCAGCACTGCAGAGGTTCTTCAACCCACTCAAGAGTTCTTGCCTCCAGCATGCAACCAAGGCAGATAATGCATTATTCCTATTAGAGATTCTGTAATTTATGCAAAACATCTGCACAAAAAAAAGAGACTTCATAAAACTAAAGTTGTTCACAGCATAACAATGTTGCCAGCACTAAAGCATTTTCAGTTACACAGTATAATAAAAGCACATAGAAATTCAAATGTTTTTTCAGGCTTCTACCCCATTCATCCAGAAAGCAAAACATTCCTTTCCCCAGGACTACTTTTCCTTTTCTCTCAGTTTCAGGTGTTCCCACAAAACTTGGGCCTGAGCAGAAAGACCAGGAAAGC